GGAAGAGGACAGGGGCTGGTGTGTAGTAGGAAGATTTGAGCTGGATTACAGCTCGTACAGAGTGAGGGTTGAAAGTGGAGGGCAAAAAGGCTTGGACGTGGGGAATCTCAGACCATTTGCCATGGTGGTGACAGAAATTGTAGTGAGACCTCTGAGGAGGCTCCCCAAAGGGGTAGTTTTAGGAGGAATAGGCTGAGAGTTTCCCATGTTTTTGGAAAGAGTAGGAGCCACACAGGGCCAATTCTACTCAATTCTAGATGTCCCCAGAACGAGGGAATGGCATGGGAGTAACGAATGAGCGACTAGCACTAGGCAAGTCAGAGCAGGTGTCCCTGTGTCCAACTAAAGCCCTAGGGGCCGAGGGTCCTCTAGATTACCAGAAGGATTTTTCGAGTAGAGATGAGTAAATGAGAAACGAGAACAAGAGGGATTGGTAAAACGAGAACGAGCTTGCGAGCTCCCTACTCACCAGCAACAGGATATCTCAGGGTGTAGATTTTGGAGGTCAGCAAGGAAGATCCGAGTCTCCGTCTGGTACCTGTCTCTCAGCTTGGTTCAGGAGGGTCCGGGTGGACAATTACCTTACCTAGGCCGAGCTAGAATGCTCTGCCTACCCTCCAGAATCAGAGACAAGTTAGAGAGAGGCCCCTGCATGGCTCAGGAAAGATCCGTGCAAACCTTACCAATGACCCAGGGACCCAGAGGAAGGCAGGACTTGGGAGTTAGGCCAGGACGAGCTGCCACTGCCTGCTGCTTCCTGAGTTTCAAGCCTTGCCTGCTAGAGTCCTGGAGGCCATGTCCACCTGGTGTGCCCTCCCAGGTTTTGGCACCAAATGTTAGGTCCGGAGCCAAGAGGGAGACACACGAAGCCTCATGTGTAGTAAAATGCTGTTTATTTTGAGCATCTGGGTGCAGATGGGTGGAAGCCAAAAAAGGTGTCCACCTCTAAACCTTTGTAAGTGTCAAGTTGGAGGGTTTTTTTATTTCCTTGAAGTCAATTCTTTTTCTATTCAGGGTCCATTTATTGAGTTTTCTATCCATGGCCAAGATATTTAAGCCCAAAGTTGTTAGCATATTTTTAATAGCTAATTCAATTTCTTTTTTGGTTTTAAGTCCCTTTTGTTTTCTATTTCTTCCTGAGTCAGTTTTGATAATATATGTCTTCTGATGAACTTGTCCATTTCATTTTAGTTGTTTAATTTGCTGGCATAAATTTGTTTATGATATCCCCTTATAATTATTTTAATTTATGTAATAACAGTAATGAGAGCATTTCTTTCATTCCAAATTTTGGTAATTTGTGCCTTGTCTCTTTTTGTCAGTCCAGCAATAGCTTTTTAAATTTTGTCAATCTTTTTCAAACATCACTTTGGCTTTATTTATTTTTCTACTGTTCTTCAGCTTTGGTATCATTGCTTTCTTCTCTGATTTCCTATCTTTTGGTTGCTTTGGGAATAATTTGGCCTACTATACTTCTTTTGTTATAAAGCTTTTAAGCTTTGATTACTTACTTGACACCTTTTTTCCTTTTCTAAAATTGTCAATTAAAAGCTGTAAATTTCCTTTTAAGAACTTCATTAGTTGCATTTTATAAATGTTCATATGCTGTGAGTTCATTATTATATAGTTAAAAATATTTTCTAAGTTTTTTGTGATTTATTTTTGGACCTATTATTTATTTAGAATTTGCTGTTTAATTTGCAGGTATTTGGGGATTTTCATAAAATTTTCACAAATGTCTTTCTGCTATGTCTCATTTAATTTTATTGTGGTAAGAAATGTTTTTGAGTTGTTTCAATCATGTTAAAATTATTTGAAGTTTATAAATTGCCTAGAACTTTATTTGTCCTGGAGAATGTTCTGTGTGGTCGAAATTAATATATAAGGGCTGTCCAGAAAGTATCCAGCCATGTAACCATTCTTATTATATTAACAATGGCTGGATACTTTCCAGACACAAACCCTCGTATATTCTGCTGGTGTTGGGTAGAATATCTCTATAAATATCAATTAGATCTATTTGGTTCATAGTGCTGTTCAAATCTTCTCTCTTTAATGATTTTCTGTCTAGTTGTTCATTGAGTTGTTGAGAATAGGGTATTGAAATTTCCAACTATGATTTCAGCTATGAAATCAGAAAAGAAACCAATGATATCAACATTGTTTTTTCAATTGTCAGATTTGTTCATATATTTTGACTTTTAAAAATCATTTAAAATGTCCTGACAAGTAGCCAAGAAAGTAAGAAATGCAACAAGATCAACATTTAAGTTAGAAATGGGAATTGCTGGAAATAAGTAGGCATCAGTGTCAGATTTAGCCTTGAGAGAGTCTTCAGAACCCTCATGTCCTTGGGTCCCCATTTTGATATATCTGTAGGGTACAGGGGACTGGAAATAAAGCCTAAGGTTCACCCAAAGTGATAAATCTAATTAGAGATCATGACATGAAATTGAGGATCCAAAGGTCTGTATCTTCAGCATGAGAGTGAATCCTGAATAAAACTGTTGCTCAAATTGAATGAAGAGCAAAGAACCTTGCTTGTTTCTCTTAGTCAGTGGAGAAAACCAGTGTTCCCTGAACATTCCTAATGTACTAATCTCAACTGGATTCGTGACTCAAATTCCTGTTGTCTGTGTGTCTAAAAGTTGTTAAGTGAAGAATGTCACTTAAATGTTCTATGGGTAGGTAGTAAAGTCGGGCATCTGGGAGAAACAAATATTCCCCTGAAGACTAAAACTTCAAACTAGACACAAATTATTTTAGATAAAGTTCTGAGAAAAGAAGTAGCTTGATATCAAATATTATAAAACACAGGAAGATTTCAGTTCAATGGGTAAGAATTAATAGAAACAGACCACAGAATTTTATTCAAAATTTGTCAGATATTAGATTATACATGAGATTATAAAATAAGTATTGATATTTTTCAAGAAATAAAAAGAGAGGTTTAAAATAAAAGCAAGGACAAGAAGTTATTTTTTAAAGAATGCAGAAAATAGAAATGAAAAATGTTACTAGAAATGAAAATATATTACTTAAATTTAACAATTCAATAATTGGTTCAATTGTTTATTAAACTCAGAAGAGAGTAATAGTTAACTGTAAAATTTAAAGAAATTGCATGAAACACATCACAGCAACACAAGGAGAAAGAAAATATAAATAAAATATTTAAAAGCATGGAATACAGAATGAGAGTGTATAATGAATATTTAATAGCAGATTATCATGGAAATAACAATGGTGATACTTTACAATATGATGTTTGACTCTTTCAAACAAAAGTCTTACTGTCTAGTTAGTGAGGGTAAACAAAGCAGGAAAGTGATGGTGCCAAACAGTGCACATATCCAAGAAATTAGAAAATGTGTACAAATGTATCATTAAAAACTTATCATTAAAATTATCTTCAAATGTGTAAGAAAAAGCCAAGTCATTGAAGGAAAATCAATAGCTTAAAAAAGAAGAGGGACTCAATTATTTATCAACATATGACTTTAGAATTTATAACAATATAATTAAAATAAATACAAAGACGAAATGCAATAACAAAATGGTCAAATAATGAAAATGTATAATTCAGAAGATATAGAAAGCTAAATGTTGGCTCATTAGAAAAAGAATAGTGAAAAGAGAGAATAATAGAAAACCAAAAGCAAGATAAGTCAAAAACACAAAACATATAAATGAATCAGAATAGGAATGATTCATTAGTGATTAGTATTAATAAAGATAAGAACAAATTTTTAAGAATATTATTGAAACTTTGATAAACTGAATAAATTTGTAGAGAAAAATGGCTCGATGAATAGATAACCAAAATATTCACATAGCCATTAAAGGAAAGATTTTGACTCAATGACTAATAATTGTTCTCCACAAAATAAATATGTACATTCTAGGACCGTAGGGCTTAATATGCAATTTTAAACTTTCACAAAATTCTAGAGGAAAAAAATAAAAAGAAACTACGCTAATATAAGAAGGTAGCAATCATTATAAACCACAATTAGATGAGGAAGGTACAAATATGAAAAATTACAAGCCTAAATCATAAATATAAATGCAAAAATCTTAAATGAAGACATCAACAAATCCCATAAAGAAATTTATAATGAATGTGAAAAAAACCCAAACTAGAGAACCTACTTTTATTCCCAGAATGCAATATTAGTTTAATTTTAGAAACTTAATATAATGAGGAAATATTTTTGTCTAATTTCTCTAAAAATTATCCTGGTCTGTTGATTGTGATTTAATTAAATTTTAAATTTATAAATTAATTGAGGGAAATTTTCATGCTTAAAATTTCAAACATTTTTATAAAGACCACTTTTTATGCATTTATTTAAATTTGCTTTTATGTTGTTTGATAACATTCTGTCATTTTCTTCCTACAGACTTTGCTCAGTTCATGTTAAGTTTATTACTGGATTTACACTGTTTATTTTATGTTTCAGTTTTGCTGTGTTGAGATTATTCTGTTTTCAATATATTTTTTATATAGATAAGCATTTTTGTATATTAATTTTACATGAACTATCTTATGATTTTAATAATTTTCAGTTGATTCTTTTGTGGGTTTTGTTATATAATTGTATAATCAGAAAATGATCATTTTTGTCTTTTTCATTCTGATATTTAAGACTCCTATTTCATCATTTTCCTTCTAGGTGGTTCTGAAAGGCCTCTGCTCTTGAAGTTCTTCTCACTTCAAAGCAAGAGAGTACTTTTATATAATGCTCAATACTTACATTGATCCTAATAAACAGGATTTGTACTAAAACAATTTTAGCATATAAATATATTTTTAATCCTTTTGATAACGAATGAAGAAAGTAATATATTACAGTATTTCTTTATATTCAGTAAGATTCACAGCTAAACATTTTCTGAAACTAAAATAATTCATATTTATTTATTATCAAAGATTTCCTTCTGATCTCTGGATCTTTTGTTTTAAAATCAGATTTTTTTGCTTCTTATTCTACATCTAGAACACGAAGCTTATTTAAGAGATTTTATGGAATTACGATGGCATCTTGAAGATAAAGTTAATAAACGAAAACATTTTGAGGAACAAAAGACACAGTTAGAAGAAGCGAATGCAAAGATTCAAGCAGACATAGACTTCATGTCTGAACGTGGCCCTCTGCTGAAGTCAAAGCAGAACCAAGAACTTGAAGCTCTGAAAGAAATTTACATGAAAAAAAGAGAGGTAAATGAATAAATGAATGGATATGCATTTCACAAACTGTTGTGCAAAAATAGTTCGACCCTTAGAAATTAATATTATTGTAAAGGTTTCATTTTCAGTGAAAATTGACCTGCTGTTTATCTACACACACTATCATCTATTGGTATTCAAGTTAACTATGTCTTCTTCCCTTATCTTTATACTTAGAAGTATTTTTTTTTCTTTTTTATTTCAGCATATTATGGGGGTACAAATGTTTAGGTTACATATATTGCCCTTGTCCCACCCGAGTCAGAGCTTCAAGCTCTTCCATCCCCTCAAAGGCAATCACAGCAACAATAAAAATAAATGAGACCTGATCAAATTAAAAAGCTTCTTCACAGTCAAGGAAACTAACACGAGAGCAAACAGACAATATAGGAGAAAATATACTCATGCTACACATTTGATAAAGGGCTGATAGCTAGAATCTATATAGAACTCAGGAAAATCAGCAAGAAAAAAAATCAAACAACCCTGTCAAAAAGTGGGCAAAGGACATGAACAGAAACTTTTCAAAAGAAGATAGACTAATGGCTAGCAAACATATGAAAAAATGCTCAACATCCCTAATCATCAGGGAAATGCAAATCAAAACCACAATGAGATATCACTTATCTCCAGTGAGAATGGCCTTTATCAAAAAGTCCCAAAACAATAA